CTGGGTTCAGAGATGCCTAATTTACATAGCCCCGCCCCTGTGTCTTAGCCCCGCCCACCTATTCCTGGCCTCCAGCGGGGTGGGGAGGGGGGTGTCTCCTGGACCAACCTTCATCCAGGTGACGCTGCCCCCTGTAAGCCGGCGCACGGGCATCTCCGCTTCCGCCACCCCATCCTCTCTGACCCCGCCCCTACACGGCGGCAGAAACAGGTGCGGTCCAGTACCTGTCTCCAGAGAACCAGGAGGAGTGGGGTGAGCGGTGAGGCATCTGGGAGAGCTCCAAGGACTCCCGCCAGAAGCCACTCCGCGGAGGAAGCGGGGTCAGAAGTCGTGAGCTCACTCTGCTGCCAAGCACGGTCCCGTCCATTACCGTTTATTTTTATGCAGAAACTTTGGATGACAAAGAGCTTCCTGCTCTCCTTCGATCTGTTCTTACCCCTCTTTTTCGGACGAGTAAACTGAGTCCCAGAGAAAGAAGAGTCCCAGCCGATCCTGGAACCCGGGGCGCTGCACTGGCGACTGGAGAGAAGGCCGGTCCGGTCGCTCAGAATTCCGGAGCAGCTGAAGGAGGGAGGAGGGTGCGCCCTCCCTCGGGGGTCACAAGACTCGGTTCCTGAAGGGAGGCTGCGGGCAGCTTGCCAGCAGGTGACTCCTTACCTCAAACCGGTAGCGCCTTCCGGGGCATTGCCTCACTTGAACTGGGCCCGGGGAAAGGAGTGACTTACCGCAAAGTCGGTGGCCCACCTGGAGCTGAAGCCTCCAAGGCCCAATGCTCTCTGCCCTCACACCTGCAGTCGTGTGGATGGAAAGGGGGGCGGTGACTGGATTGCGCACTCCAAGCTGCGACTCTGTTACCGCGGAGGGTCCGTAAGAGGAGGGGGAAGGGGGAAGCCCGCCTGGGGAAACGTGGAGGGCACAGTGGTTAGTAAGCCCCGGCAAGAAACCCATCAGCCGCACCCTGCAGAACACACTGGGCTCCTGAATTTTGGGACTCTGTTATTCCAAACCATGAGACCACGTGTGCACTTCCAAAAGCAAAAACAGAGCATGTGCCAGATAAAGTGGTTAGAAGTGATGGGGTTAATCGGGGAGGGCTTCGCGGAGGAGGTGAGGTTTGGACGGATTAGGCAGACTAGCTGGGCGGCGGGCTGGCTGTTCCTGCGGGGGAGAGTGCGGCTGGTGCCAAGGTTTTCGGGCGGCGTGCGCGAAGGGACCGCACCGCGCCGGGGAGCCGGGCGCAAGGAAGAACGGGAGGGTCTTTGAGAGCCGCCTGCGCTTCACCTCCACCCACACGGCGCCCAGCGGGCGCCCCCACCCCCTCCCCGCCCAAAGCCCAGCCCAAAGCCCACGCACCGCTAGGGGGCAATCGAGGGGGTGGCGTTCTCCTTCCAACCTCCCCTGGAGGCGTGGGACCTCCGCCCCTTCCTTGAGTTACAGGGGGGCAAACTGACGCGGCGGGAAAGGGAGCCGCCAGCTAAGGTCACCTTGCTGTTCGCGTCAGAGCCGGCGTGCAGCTCGTGTTCCCGCCCGCCCTTGCCAGGGCCCCGGCTGGGCACGTCCCGCCTGGCGCCGTCGGTTTTCCAAGCTCCGCACGCGGCCTGGGGCTTCCCGGATTCCGAGAGAAGGACCACCGCGCACCTACAGGGCTCGGATGCGGTAGCCCCGCCCCAGTGGCCGGGGCGGGCGAGCCCGAGAATAGAAGGAACCGCTGGGCACGCCTCAGCCGATGACGACAGCAGGGGACGCGGTAGTAACCACTACGGCTTCCTCCGGGATTTCCCTTCTCGGGCAGCCCC